ACTAGAGTGTGTATAGGAATTGGACAGGTAAGGGGGGTACCCCTCCGTCCCATATCTTGCCTGGTATACTCCGGCTATGTTTAAACATGCTGATTCATCCACTTGCCTCCAATAAGTCTGTGGAGGTGGACCTTATGCTGAACTTGGCCTGTGCGCACAGCCTGTAGAGGTAACAAATGCTGCTCCGTGGGCGGCGTCCCCGAGTGTTGAAAAATACAGTTTGAAATTTTCAAGCCAAAACTAATGTCGTAGGCATAGTAGGGTCAAAATGCAGTTGCACATCAGACACCTGTTGTTATAGGCCGATTGCGCCTGTTAAATCACGTGACCTATAGTGGGTATGGACCCCAGAAAAACGCGTGTTTTTGAGAGTTGTTTACGAACTCTACAGCCAGGTTACGATTTAGTGACCAGTACATCCGTAGTTCGAGTACGGTACCTACCGTCCGCGTTATTTTTGGTAAATGATACTCACGAAACACTTTGCTTTTGGTGGACGTCGTGTTTGTCGATATTTAATACCCACTGTAGGTCACGTGACTTTGCGGGCGCAATCAGTCTATTGGCTAGATTTCATTATTTCTTACTCTTCACTGGATGACAACAAAAAGGTTTGGAAACCAAATTAAACCATGGTGAAACTTGATTTTCTAAGTTTTGACACAGTGCAGCTCTTGTTTTATTTGAGGTATTAACTCTTGCTAAAAAATCTGACAATAACACCCAACAAAAAATCAAAAGGTCCAAATATGTGTGGGTTTAACGCTTTCCAAGTATTTATTCGACCGAACGCACAGAGAATGTAACAGACAATCCTCCCATCAAAATGTTGACAAAAGTGTAGGCATGTAAAGGAACATGACCCCAATATTAAAGTTTATAACGCAACTTAAGCATTAGTAATAAGTCACCATATTTACACACAATTTTTTTTTAAATTCCGTTTTCTTTTTTTCACATTTCTTTCAATTGTGGGTTCAGTTGACGGGCCAAAGGGCATTCAATTATTCAAAAAGACATCATCAATTTTTTTTTTCATTGAAGCAATTTGCCAATAAAATCTTGAGGAGGTAGAGTGAGTGTTAGGCATGTCACTGATGACAGAGCGATGGTTTGGGCTACAGAAGAAAACTGAGCTGAATTTTGCTGAGACGTTTGATTTCAACGTAATAGCTGATTTCTCAAGGAATAATGAAGACAGAAATGTGATTTTGCTACTATGGCCCGTACCATGCGATTCTCTTTCCAATTTGTGCAAGGGCTTGATGAGGCAGATGTTAAGAATTGGGCAAATGACCTCTGCGATTCACTAACTATAACGAACTGGATAATTATGTCACAAGCCACTCCTGGGTACAAATGGTTCTACGACAAATGTCTACAATGGTGGCGTGCGTGTGGGAAAGCCAGTGTTTTGTTGGTGGGTATGGCTCTCTCGTTATTAGGTGTGTTTTCACTACCGGCTGCGACTTCAAAAGTTACAGCCAAAACCTGCTCAATTTGTGGCAACCAATTTGTGGTCTGGATGCCTGTGCAAAGAAACACTGTACTAGTCATCTTGTTACGGTTACCAGGCTCTCATACCTCCAAAAATGGATCATGCTTCAAGGCCACCTATCCACTTTCAGTTGGCTTTAGGTATGTCATTTATGATCAAATGCTGAGCTCTTAAAAACCTCACAGGAACCGCTTAGGACAACCTTGCCAACGAGACACGACTCCCGAATGCATCACTACCTTGATAACACTTGTCTCCTTGACGATCACGAAAACCCAACTTTATTTTGGAATTAAGTTTTTTCTCTCAAATTACAAAAAAATGTGCATCGCACTCTACGACGGAGAATCTATAGAAAAACCTCCAATTGTACAGAACAAAAAAAAAAGGACACCGACACAGTTTAATCTTGCCCCTCCTCTGCCTTCCGTTACACTTACGGGGATAGAATTTGGACTGAGGTTGAAATTAATGTACGCAAAACATACCAAAAAAGTGCTACTAAAAAGAAAAAACAAGAAGGGAAGTACGCCATACATTAATCACCAACGACAGCTGACCCCAAAGATTTCAAATTACACGTTCTTGAAGTGCATCGGCCACATTTTCCCGAGCGAGGATCGATTTACCTCTTAAATGCTTTCAGTGATGCTAAGAAAATCATTTGTTGGAACTGGAGCCCACTCCTTAAATGGGGTCCACTGTCTTCATTACCAGTTGTCGCAGTGTCCGGCATTTTACCTCAGGAAAATGTCAGTACAAAGCATTTAAATGCCAACAAATTCCTAGGGTTTGTATGAGCCCCACACGTAGTTAACACCGAGGAATGTTTATTCTAGAATCTACTTTATCTACAAATACTATTACATGTAATATTTTAACAGCTGAAAAACAAAACAAAAAACAATAAAGAAATAAAAGGACGATACTTTTCCTTGTTAAGACAGACACTTTGTCTTTCCAAAAGGCAGGAAAAAAAAGACCAGTTTGGAGTGTAATGTAGCACCAAACATACAAGATTAGTCTCAATTCCAGTAGGGTGTGGGAAAAAGCCATCAGGTTAACAGGAAAAGTACCATCCGTGAATTATCAAAATGCATTTGTACTTTACACAAAAAAAAAAAAAAAAAAATCAATGATGTCCCAAAGGCGTGGGAAAAATTCCAGCACTGTCTAAAGTCAATCACGAACTCAAACCTGCTTGTCACGAATTAAAAATCCTTTGGGGTCCTAAAAAAAAAAAAAAATAGAAAGAGACGAAAAAACAGGAGCACAGCATCTCTTACTACTACATTCACTTGAGTCCAGGATATCAAATCAATCGTGGATGATACAGAGGAGTCACTAACAAAGAAATATTACAAGTTTAAAGACAACAGCAAAATACCGTGTTACGTGAAAGAAACCCCCCCCCATCCCATCCAAAAGACAAAGACAGTGTGTGGCAAAGTTTATACAGGTTTTGTCTCTTCCCTAGTTTGTCGGTAGAAATGGTGGATGAATGTACAACTCCTTGTGATCGCGGTGTTGTTGACGACGATGATGCGTTTCTATGGTAAGTGTTGCTGGGCTGCTAAAAAAACAAGAGTGTCTTAGGCGTCACCTTCTTCGTCCTCTTCATCTTCGGGTACTTCTTCTTCATCCCCCTGTGGAAAAAAAATTCATATCATCTATCAAATGCACCTTTTTTTGTCCAAGCTCTTGATTTCACGCAGCAGAGAAGCGTTGAATATTCCAAACACTGAAGGCCAGTGCAAGCTTGGCACCGTGACGAACACGGACAGAAATTCACACAAGTAGAACAAACTCTGACTCAAAACAAAATCTGCCGCAAATATTGTGTGACCGAAACTTCACTTTGCTGTTGTTTTGCCTGAAGCATAAAAGTGACCAGTAATCCCTCCCCTTGAAAAGACAGTAAACAGGGTCCATTCGATGCTGAGCATCGAAAATTTTGGCTCTGCAAAAAATAGATTTTTACCAGCTACACTTGCATGTTATATCACATATATTACATGTATAACCTAAATATATGTAATATATTACATGTGATATCACATATATTACATGTATAACTTAAATATATGTAATATATTACAAAATGTGATATCACATATATTACATGTATAACAAATATATGTAATATATGACATAATGTGATATCACATATATTACATGTATAATTTAAATATATGTAATATATGACAATGTGATATCACATATATTACATGTATAACTTAAATATATGTAATATATTACATAATGTGATATCACATATATTACATGTATAACTTAATATATGTAATATATGACATAATGTGATATCACACACACGTATATGATATATACTATATAGTTCTATGACCTACCTCCCCCTCAAAGTCTTCTAGCCCCTCCTCCCCCTCATCATCCTCCCCCTCGTCCTCTTCTTCCTCATCTTCTTCGTCGTCGTCGTCTTCGCCATACTCTGCGATGTCGTCCAGATCTCCTGTCTCACTGTCCTCGTCGCCCTCCTCCTTCCCGTCGGGAATCTGGAAGGAACAGACCGACAGATGACGACGTGACCCATGTTTGAAACACATGCAAGGATTGGGGGTAGACCTGCAGGGCCAACTCCTCAAAAGTGTAAAGCGCCGACATTTGCTAAGCACTAAAAATATCTGCTTAGCACGCAAAAAAAAAGAAAAGAAACGGGTTCCCGACCAAACTGTCATGCTATTTACAGAGACAGTGACTGGTTCACAGCTGACTTTTGCTAATCACAAATCAGCTAAGCAACTGCGCCCTGATCTTTTTTGCTGATACCCTTTCCTTTCCTGCCAGTGGAACTGACTTTGCCCTCAAAACATGCGCGTGCAGAAGGCACTACCTATTCAAATGAAGTTGACCCTGGGTCAGAGGTCACACGGACAGTGTGCAGGCTGTTGTCCTTGCGTCTGCGTATCTGAGATGGAGCAGGCTGTGTCCAGGTTACTTGGCCTACAGCTGACTTAAACATATGTCTATGGGAAATGGATGTTAGCAGCTGGTTAGCGGCTTTCTTAAATGTGTGCCTTACACCCAGCCGCTGCTACAGCACGTCTGTATTCCAGCTAGGGTGTGATATGACCCCTGACAGGATTGGTTTACCTGACCAAAATGATAAAAAACATCATCGTGCTGGAAGTCTTTGTGTGGGCAAATCAACCAGATTGGGAAACGTGTTGCAAGAGACACATGCAGCTCTTGAAGAAATTTTACATTTTACATAATCGCAGAGAGGTGCCTTAACTGAAGTATGAGGACACCAGACCAAGATGGCTTTACCAGAATAAATTTGGGTTAGATGGTGGCATTAGTAGAATCCTCCCAATGGGTTTATCTGAGATAATTCACTTCTCTTTATCCGAACGAAAAGTCATGACAACCGCGGCAAGGCTTTGCAACTCCAAAATGGACAAATACCTAGCAGGCGGCTTCGGGGTACCAGACCAAGATGACTTACCAGGAAGTACTGCAACGGGTTAGGCCAGATGTCGTCCTTGATGACCTCGCCCAGTTCGTCTGCCCCGGCATCTGTGTGGTCGTTGAACCAGCAGAAGAAGCTCTCGCTGTCGCCGTGCGGCCTCTTCTGGGCCACGCCCTTCTGCTGGACGGCTGTGTTTCTCTTGGTCAAGTCCTGCAAAAATGTTCACAATATTGTTAAGAGTCTCCAATCATTCTTGCACAAAATGGGAACATTCAACACCATGCAAAGCGATAGTGGCGTGGTTGGGGGTTTTTAATCCTCGAAACATGAGGCTGAGTTGAGTTCTCCCAGGTTTTTCAAGAACTGCAAAAGATTTGAGTCTTATTGCACAGCAAGGTAAAAATGCTTGCATTTCTATATGGAACTCAAAAATGTGATTGGTTATTTTCCACGTACATACAGGCTTTGCATGGTAGCCATCTTACAGGGCAGTTTTTCCCTTCCACAGGGTATGCACAATGGAGGTCTCCCTGTTGAAGAAAAGAACTGCCATGTATGATGGCTTTCATGCAAAGCCTCTATTGGGCAAATATTCTCCCAAAGCAGGTCAACGTGTATGTTTGCCTGCGGGAAGTAAACTGCTGGGGGAGGGCTTTGGGTTAGCTAGGGTCAACAAAGACATCCAAAGGGGTCGTTACCATTCCCGGCTTCCACTTGATGGTCGACGAATTTGATGATGGGTCCCCTGAATCGTTAAGGTGGAATTCCTTGTATATTACTTCGTTCTCAAAATACGGATTGTTAGGTTTGAAATGCTGCAAAAGAAACAAGGACAGAGAACATCAATGCTATTGTTACAAAGGAATGTTTTAAATCTGTAAAGGTGTAGTGCTGTGTAATAACCAAACAGCATACCATTTATACTTTTAAAAACAAAATTTTAATCGGTGCATTAGATGTCCAAAATGAACCTTTACAAAAAAGTGATAGCCACCTCAACCTGAATTGTTACATTTCAACAGGCTAGTGGGTCTTCACGTAGGCCAGTGAAAGGTTGGGTAAACTTGCCAAAGTGGTAACGTTTGACATGGGCTCCGTCCACAAACGTCAGGGGATGCTTTGTTACTCTGCGATGAGATCTCCTGGTGACAATGTAGCATGCGCATGCATGTGCGGTACAGAGTGTGAACAAATAACTTTTCGTTTGAATGTGCACAAACGATAGCATCTTTGCGTGGATACCAGGCAGGATGACGTTCATGTCAGCCAAACCCGTCTCCTTATCAACAACGCGGGGGTACTTGAGAGTGGAAGCTCGACGGCGTGTGAAATGTACAAGGAACTAGTCAAGAGAATTAAGCTTTGAAGTTTACTTGAGAGATATACGGTGAACCAGCCAAGGCAACTAGCACAGCGTGACACTTTAGGGCACAGGATTGGCATACTCACAAATAAGATTCTGTAGCCTGACTTGATATCTTCAAATTCCTGCACCTCCACTTTGGTCAGATACTGCAGTGCCTCCTCGTCCTGCTCATCTAATAACATCGACACTTGAGGATGGTGTAAGAACTGGTACGTGGCAGCGGCAAGTCAAGGATCTAGAACTTAATTGCTTTCTCATCACACAGAATCAAAACATCAACTACCAACTACCAATACTGGTCGGGTAATTTAAAAGCTTTCATTTCAGATAAAAATCACCTCTAACCAAAATGTCTACATGGAGATACAGGCTATTAAAGTTATAGTGAAAAAAATCAATAGATAAAAAGTTCAAGGATTTGAAACCCACAAACCACTAGACTCAAATCACAGAAGAGCAGATTTTGGAATTTTCTCATGTGAACAGAAAATATAAGCAAGTTTCAAGAAAATCTGTCATACTGGTCCAAACGACATTTGATTTGACACAGAGTGACCAATATCACATTTGTACAAAGAGCAAATGTTTGTCTTTCAGAATCTTTTAAAACCCTGAATATTTCTGCTAGCATTACACAAGGCAAATCTCCCCAAAAATGATGGGGCAAAATCAGTTTGATCCCTCAAATGATACTAAGTAGCTCTACCTCCCCTGTTTAAAAAAAAACAAAAACACCACAATCTCCACCAGGCACTGCAGCCATGTTTCAACAACAACCCCAAGGATACGGTCGTGACCCAGAAGTGAGGAATCTTCTTGATCATCTCGGCCCGCTTGTCAAAGTGCGGCTTCCTCAATTTGTTGTACTTCTGCTCCACATGGAGGATCTCCTCGCTGGCCTGCTCGTTCAGCGCGTCGATCTCGCTCTGCACGCTGTCGATGGCTTCCACGGCCATCTGATTGACATCCTCTTCTGAAGTCAGGGCAGAGGAAGAGGAGAATGAATTTCATTTGGATGGGTGTGATATTTAAAAATAAGACAAAAATTCCATGCAGACCCCTCAAAGCGCGAGACTAAAGTACAGAGTGTTTAAATTTGTGGAAGTAAGTAAAAAAGAAAGGAGAAACAAAATACAAAATCCTATCAAATTATGGAACATTCAACCCATCACGATCCCCTTCCTCAAGGTTAACCTCGGTTTTTCTGACTAAAGGCCACAGATTAGTGGCAACAAGATGGCTCATGTCCAACACACTGGAAAATATAACATGTACAGGGGGTCTGTAGAATGCAAGCACAGCGTAAATAAAAGCATGCCTTTATTAAACCCAAGATGAATATCAATTGGCTTACTATAATGGAAAAAATACCTGGAGTTGGGTTGGTCGATAAGCATGACAGGGGAAAAACAAGAAGAAATATTCATATTTTGAAGTTACCAGGTATGTGGTCAAGGGAAGATTTAAACATTTACTTATTACCACAATAAATGTTTAAAGCATCCCCCATTCTAACCAAAAAATTTCAGGGGCTTGTTCTCAAAAAAATGCCCCCCCCAAATATGTATAAGACTCTTGTTTGAAATAAAACCTGAACTATCGAAATATTCAAGGTTAGAAGAAACTGTTGTACATTAGTTACTGATATATTTCAATAATCATGACAAATGAAGGCATTACAGAGTTAACTGCTTTGTGTTTCAAACGACAAAATGCACACCTGCACACCGGTCATCATGATCATGTGAATTTATACATGATGATGGAATCCCTGGTAAACATGGCCTTGAGAAAACTGAACAGAGGTGAAACTTGACCTACACAAGCATAGTCACGAAAACATCAAATAAGCCTGGGATAAGAAAGGGGATTTTTACTGTAATTTCGTTCCACGCACTTGTTGAGTTCGGAGCACTAGTCACTGGTGTCGGGAATAGACGGCTTTCGCACTACTTACACCGACCCACAATGCGCGCCAGATCACTCTACAAACGCGAGCTAGCACGCCATGCTCGGCACACATGTATTTCATATGAGGCACACAATGCCGAAAACAATGGACGCCACCACGACTGCCACGCGTTGCCGACAAATCCTTCCCCAACCGGCCCTTCCTGCGACCCGCCGTCAGCACTGCCCGGCTCGACATACTCCACAGAAGCTCCTGGGCCGACTTACCGTCCACTTCGGCGACATTTTGGCCGTTGTTTTTCGTCTCTTCTTTCCTTACTTTGGCTGGTGGTGGCGACGACATTTTGACCGCTTCACGAGGTTGACAGTGGGGAAAGTGCGCATGCGCTGTGTCACAAAGGGCACTTGCTCGCGATTTTTGCGTTTCGCGGGAACACGTTCAGAAATGCACGGCTCCACAGTGCGATTGGGTGGCGGCGTTATACGCAGTGCTCAGAACTGACGTGTTCAACCATGGTTCAACGAAAGTGCACTTGTTGGTCATGCAAATTGGATTCATGGGACATTTTCCCTGCAGGCCTCACTATTATTTCGGAAAACCAACTCATGTTTTTCTCTTCGTAGTGCAGACTTCATAACCAGAGTAAAATAAAACGTGCAAGGGGGGGGGGTATTGAGAAACGTATTCTTCAATAGAGTATAATAGTAGGGCCTATGCCGTGAGAGAAAAAAAGGAGAAATGTGATATGAGAAATAAAGGTCGATTTGGTGGAGAAAAAGGAATATTCACAAAAATTAATCCTTCCTGTTTATCAACTATAGATGTTATGAGCTGAAAATTCGAAGCGCAAACAAAAATCGGAAAAATGGAACCTCCAATATTAGCTTAATATTAGGTTTTTAGGCGCAGATCAAACTAGAATTAGAATCCATTCAGTGCTGTGCACCACTTTTTTGACCAATCACGATGCTAATCTGTGATGTTGACTCCATTGAATGTTACGAGGTACCATGAAGTTACTTTTACTTACATTTTTTTTTGTTTAGCACGATAGCATTCAATTGTAAATGGGGTAGAATCATTTTATTATTAGCTTGTCCCGTAGTCAAGATTAATCCGAGTTTTCTTTTTCACCGAAGTTTCCAGTAACTTGTTTCATGCACTCAACGTGCACCCCTGCGTGCGTTTTTATCCCCGCGCAAAACCGACGGTTCTATAGAGGGCGCACTCCAATTTTAATGGTCAGATGACGCATTAACGCGCGCAATAAACTGCAAGTCCATCAAGGTTGAAAATGACTTCTGTACATTTTAGTACCATGAAAGTACCGGTACGTATATTGCTTCAATATAATGGAAGTGAGAACCACACAAAAGGACCGGAAAACTAGCAAAAGAAAATAGTTATTCCGGGACTTTTCACAACACGAGAGGGCGCGCTTTAAGGCTGAGCAGGAAAAGGAACACACGTTCACGGCACCGTAGTACTACATGTACATTGAGCAGTTTTGCCTGTGCAGTGTTCTTGATTAATTTTAACTTTTAGGGATTTCTCCTGTTTTCAGAAACACACCTTGTAACAAACGGAAAATAGCCTACAGCTACTGGCCAGCAATAATTGAAAACGGATCAAATGGGAACAATCAAACACAGTTGTTAAAAAGTGACAAGGTCTTTCCTACATTTTCTCTGCACACTACCAGTACTAAAAACCGCGGTTAATTGCATCAGAATGATAGGCCTATTGTTTATTTATTGCAAAATTTGTCTTTAGAAAACAGGGAATAGGGGATGAGGCCCAGGACCGAAATTTAGGGGAGGAGGAACTTAGATGAAGTCCCCCCCCTTGCTTGTCAGCTCTAGAATGCTGACTTGCTACCTGTTCCGGATTGAGGAAAGCGGCTTGTTGGCTCACAATTCGGCAATGAAGTGGCCTTCCGATCAAGGTAAAAACAATACAGTTCTATGTCATCGCTCCGTCTCATCCCTGAAAGGCTGCACCGCGGAGTTTTGCGACACGCCGGTGCAACACAGGACTGAGACAGACGGACGTTTTACCACAAGTAGGAAGATAGACCATGCAGCAAACTCAATTTCTTTTGCTTCACTATTTAGTTCCACCATGGGCGAAATACATAACCCAAACTGCAACATTAAATGTATCCCCGAAACACCTGGACATTGTATACAGGAAGCTAACTGGCCACGCTAATTAACATGTACTGTCAAGTACAAGAATTTTTCCTCATAACAATTTGCAGGTAGGCTGCCATCAATAGATAAAACTCGTGACACAGTTATGCCTCAGTGATCACAAAAGCAACCCGAAACCGAGCGTTTTGTTGTACGAAAGTATGCATTTTTATATAGGCTTACGTGTAGAGAGGAGACAGAGAAAGCCTGTTGAGTGCACGCTGAACAGCCAGCGCAAGGTATCAGTGTTTAGCAACGACAGTAACTCTGAACCTTTGACAAAACTGTGCAGGTACCCGAATCATTACATTTGAAGGTCGGTCATGTACGTTTTTAAAAATTTCTTTTACTATTCTTGTTTTAATCATCAGTTGGGCCTGTACGACTGGAGAGCTTTTTGGCCCTAACGTCGCGTCTACGCGTGTTAACGACGCAGGCTAGCTCACCGTGACCACGTAAGCGGAGTCCTGGGATTTGATGGTGGAAAAGTGGGCAAAGCACAGCGTTCAGGCTACCGATTTCTGCATCGAGGTGGGTTATTTTCGATTAGGCCAAACGGGTGGATCTCAGTTCCGTACTAGGGCTGAAAGTTTAATCTGCCCATGTAAAAATCACAGTTTAGATTCTTGTAACTTATGGAAGAGGTTGCCAAAAAACCCTCGCTTTCTGGGCCATCCGGGGACGGATTCCACCCTCTAAGATCTCAGTTTTCCCATGCCCGATTTGACTTTCTTTATGAGAACATCTCTGAAGTTCCAGTCCAATCCGACATTGACGACATTAGCTTGTGTTCGATATACTACCGGCATGCGTAGTTCATAGCCTTGCGCATGTCGGCCCGGCTGGACTGAGTGCGTCAACGGGAACAGGTAAACCTTGTTTGGCTTACCTGTGTCGGGGAAAATCGGCACTTCGTGAAAACAGTATGTCCAATTTTCATAATTTTCAAATAATCGTAAGATGTGACTTTAACTGTAATCCATTGCCAGGCGACTGTTCCGCAACGGGCAAGAAATCGAGTTATTATTTCTGTCACAGAAAGGGTAGCGATTAATTAACATTTCTGTGCGTTACTCATATTGCAGCGACAGACGTGGTAAGTGCCCCTGCGCGTGAATGCATTGTTATTTATTATGGAGCTGGTATCACGCATGCGCAGGGAGCTGCACATTAACCCATAGAGGTAGTCACAAACAGGCGATGACAGCAGAACGATCATGTCAGGTCCCCCTGATTAGATTCGAGCAGCCATTACTGAAGATGGACTGACAGAATACTGTGATAATCTATCCGATAGCAAAGCTAATTCCAGAGAAAGGCCCCCTTAGTTTGAATCGAGCCAGAAATACTGTGATGGATCGGCGGATGGAGATAGTACAGCCATCCGCCGACAGACCGAGCCCGTCCCCCGCGTCATGATTGAAGGAAGCTGAAAACAGACTAATGCGTTTGTAGGTCTAATGAATCATGACTTTCATCATTATTGCTGTTCAGCCATTACTCGTAATTTGCAATCCTGGTCGTGACTTACACAAGCAATCGCCATTGCTTGCAAGCTCGCATTGGACGAATACTCAAGATGCGCACCAGCTTCCAGTTCCATGGTACCATGTAACTCGGTGTGCAGCGGGCGACTTGATCTCAATTATTAAAAACTCTTAATAATAGAGATCAATGAGGGGGCGTGGTTAAAACTGAAGTGACGTCACACTTACCGCTAGAGACGGCACATCGTCTCAGCAGGCTAAGATCATCACTGTTCACCCGTGTGACGAATAAAGCGCATCGAACGGGTCCATAATTTCTCCGGGGAGCCGGAGAAGCAGGAAAGACGTTCCCAATTAATCGCCAATTTTGGAGCATTGCTGTGACAGGACACTACTTAACAAGCTGTTCATTCGAGGGCCGGACATTTAGAAGAGTCATCAAGATCTGCTCTCACTTGGTATAATATCTACCCGTGCGCTGCGCATGCACTGACTTGTAATAGAATTCTTCGGGTCGTTTCATGTTAACTTTATACACTGTTGTATGGCAGCCGCAAGTGACGCTGTTCTCAACCTGACGTCTCAGAAATGAACCTTGCGGTGTCCTTGCTCCTTTTGTTGAGTCCCGTCGTCGGTTCAAGTCCGTGGAACGACGAAGCGCGTCTCGTCGGGGAACTTTTGGGGAGAAGCGAGTATGACACTTCAACGCGCCCGGTTAGAAACGCCTCCCGAGCCGTGCGAGTCGCCCTGGGAGTGGATGTCTTCACAGTTCAAAATCTCGTAAGTACGATAGAAGTCATTCTATACGGAAGCATGAACTCAGAAAACACCCGACCACTAGTTCAACTGTCGTGGTAAATGGAGTGGGGAGGAAACACATTTAGATGGGGGGAGGGGGATACTGAGGGTGGGGGGGTAGCCGTTGATTGAATACGAGCGATTCACAATAGTGCGCCACCAAGAGTTTGCAACACATTGGCCAATCAGAACGCGCGAAATTTGTCGACCCTTTCCAAATGCGCAATGGGTCGACAAATTCCGCGCATTGTGATTGGCCAACCCGTTGCAAACTCTTGGTGGTGCACTGTTGTGAAACGGCCGTATTGCGGTGGTCTGAGTGAGTTCACGTTCGCCAGACGCGCACCTGCATATTGTCGACTCAGATGGTCAATTACAGTTTTGCTGGTGTATCCGCCATCAATATTCTATGGGGGGGGTGATGGTAGAGAAAGAAACCTCAAGCAGGAAAAGGGGTCAGCTTAAGCCAGTTGTTCGTCCACGTTCGTGAATCGTTTCGTATTTTTACTATGTCCTTTCACTCCTTGATTTTTCCCCAGGATTCGAAGGAGCAAAAAATTACCGTTGTCTCTGCATTTAACATGGTGAGTCCTTCAGCGAACCTTTTTCAAGAACTTTGGTTTGAATGGGTCAGAGGATGTATATTCGTACAGGTTTGGTGTCTGCTACCAAACTGTTGTGCCAAACTGCAAAGCTGTCTGCCCATCGTTTCGAGAACTGGTGCTCACAATTTCAAGATTATCACTGATGTCAAAAATTGAACCTCGGCGGGCAGGAACACAGCATTCGTTTCAGAATAAGATTTGTTTGAGTTGTTTGGCGGATGTAGTCTGTTTGTTATAGGTCCACACACGTTCAACGTAAGATTTTCACCTGTGCAAAGTATACCTTACGTTTTCATGTATGCATTTTTGCATTTTTGCGTGAAAACAACTGTGGTGTTGGCTCACGGTGAGAAAATAAATGGAATGAGAATTTTGATTGAACATAAAGACCGTGTTCAGGAGGTCGTATATATTCATCCCTCTCAAAACCATGAACAAATTTACATTACGGAGTGAACCTGGTCAGTTTTTCTTTACAGTTTATTATGATGGTCAAATGATACCCAGCTTCTACATCCAATACACTGAAGAACATGCTTTGCATATAATCAACCTGACGCGAGTGAATAAATACTCAATTCCAGAAATGGCAAGACGAGAGATTACAGTGGGATCCCGACGTCTATGGCGGTTTGGAGTATTTGTCTCTTGCGGCGGAGAGGGTTTGGTATCCCAGACTCCGGATATTAAACGCGTATGTATATTGATTTTAAAAAAGTCGTCAGAGTTCTCGGGTCACGTCCCAGGGACACTGTAGTGAGAAGCCGTCACGGTTTTATAGGCGGAGCGCCGTTAAACATGATATTTGTCCAAAAAGTTTGAAGCTGAATAATTATGTCTAATTCGCAAAGCGATTAAATGGTAGAGTTTCACAAACTGAAGTTAAAACTTGGGGAGTGCGCTTCCATGTTGGAAAGACCGAATAACGTCAGTGACGTCATTATTACGCCGATTTATATCCTGCATGCATTTTTTTTACTCGCCTACTTACAGACTTGAGGAGACAAGGCTGATCAAGGATGAAACAGAAGTCTTTGTGACAAGTGAGGGGGTACTTTACATCACCAACTCCTTAATCCATCAAACTCAGTGTCATCTTGACCAGAAGGCTTTTCCGTTCGATGTCCAAAACTGTAATTACCTCGTGGGCACAGTGAATGCCCCCAGCGACAGTCTGACAATCGAGGCCTCCGAAGTTGATGAGCCCCGGGAAGGGGTCCGGGCAGCAGCCAGTTGGCGGTTGGAGTACCTCAGGGTTAGCAACACGAAAGCACCGACTTGTATCGATGCAAACGGCGCTGCAACGACAGTGCAGTGCCATCGAACCTCAATGGCTGACGTGACCCTCACCCTGAGGCGCGAGTCGACGTATTACGTGTACTCGGCGTTCGTCCCCTGCACGATCTTGACACTCCTCGCTTCCGTGATCTTCTGGCTGCCGACGGAATGCGGCGAGAGGCTCTCCTTCGGCATTTCCATCCTCTTCGGCTTCGTCATCTTCCAGCTGCTCGTGCAGGATTCGCTGAGCGAGGCTGGCGTTGAGAAGCCCCCGGTCCTCATCCGCTACGTGCTGTTTAACTTCGTGCTTGTCGGTGTGGCGGTGATGGTAACGGCCATCTCCATTGCCCTCCACCACAAGGGCAGCGCGCAGGAAACCTCAGGGGGCTCGGCCTTGTGTAAAAGCTGCCAGTCTAAAGTTGAAGTGGGTGTCGAGGTTCCCCATCGAACACCTCACGATGGTACGGAGGACCATGCGAGAGACAGTGAGGAAAAACTCCGCTCGAGGGTAGGTCGCGAAACGAGCACAAAAGGCCGGATCAGCAAGGTGACATCCCTCACCAGTGCAGTTCACAATGACCATTAAGACGCAGCCCGAAATATCAAAAGAAAACTCACGCTGCTTTTAGGCAGAAGCCCGAAAGTAAAAACCTCCATTAATACCGGTTTCAAAATCGCTGTTTTGAAAGGGCATCCACAATCAATTCTAATAGTTCTTATTTTCGACAGACCCTTTTTGGGGGCTCCGACCGAGGATAAAGTTGTTTATGCCGCCCACGCTGTCTCGAATCTTACTAGGGAATACAAACTGTTTTTATCCCATCGACACTGCGTGGAATTTCCGATCAAGAAAATTTAATTATATTAAAAATTTTCCCAGGAAACTGCAGCGAGTTATTTTACCCATGTTTTCCCGACATACATAGGCCTACCCCCCCATGTCAATAGTATGAGAACTATAGAATTAACTATGGACGCCCTAATGCGCCTCGAGCTGGACCAAGAGAGGGCGCTTTCTCTTTGAAAGGGTGGCTCTTTTGATCGAACTGAAGGGTGCAGACCACTAATTCAAGTGAGAATTTCTGGCCAGCCCATTACCATTAAAAGTGCCCCCCCCCACAGTATCTTTTGAAAAGGGAGATTGTTTGGCCCCCAAAATGTTGAGATTGTGTAAATCCTTGCCAGGATCAACTCCCGCGGTCTTTGAGTTTTCATATGAGAGTAGAATGGCTACAAACTACGGTTGAAAAAGGGTCCTAAGTGCCCAAGAAAGTTGAGGGTTTCCACTTGAAAAATGGCTGCAATCAGACTTCGGAAAAATCACTTTTTTGGGGGAGATTTTGTTTTGTGGGAATAATTAAAAATGTAATTCCTTAACCTACAAAAAATTGAAAAGAAATTGAAAGATTAGTGACCAGACAAGAATTTCATTTGTGTTTCAGAAATCTCAGGGATGTTGGCGTGCATGTTATTGCACGCCAAACAGTGCTGATTTTACACTGTTTTCAATGGGGCTTGAATTAGTGGACTGTACCCCGAACTTCACTGGTTCACGAACAACCAGGAAATGCATTCGTTACACGGTCGCATTGCTACCAACAAATTGCACGCTCCCGACCAGCGCAGCTCTTTCCAACCGATGAGGGGGTGATTCTGCTGGATGCCGATAAAACCAGCGGTACATAATCTTGTTAAAATTTCTAAGGTCTGAACTGTACGTGGTTTATATATAGCTTTATGACAAAATTGTTCGACAGGTTTGTGCTATATACTTGGGGCATAATATAGAATGCTTCGGAGGTTCGTATGATGGGTTGAATGTGGGTTCAGATCAACAGAAATCAACAATTTTGTCCCATCGCCTTCTGAAGTTGGATGTAGGCGTGATGTAGGACCTGCAGTAAGTGTTAGGGAGCCTTCCATGTTCCTCTTTCGTTTTTTTCGCCTTCACAGAAAAAGGAAGCCCGTAACTGGAAGAGGGTCGCCCGGTACCTGGATCGCGTGTCTTTTGTGACCTTCTACGTTGCTTTTACCATCTTCGTTTCGGTGATTGGAGTTGAAGTGAACGGTTCATAGCTCAGACTGGATGATCTGCGACGGACGAGGCGCTGTCGGCATTGTACCAGCTCGTGTGCTGTGTGAGGATATCCCGGAGGTAGCCTCACGCAACGCCTACCGGTTGTGTCGGTGTAGCGTGTTTGGTCTTGATATCGGTAGTAAATATTTTGCACATGTGAGGCTATTCCTAGATGGCCCAAACGCTAACACACGTGACAATCAGTAAAAAAAGAAGAAGTACATCTACTTCTTGAATTGAGTTTACATCAGTGAACATTAATTTGCATGATTTTGATAATTAATGAATTGTTAAGAATCTGTGAGTTTTATATGCACATGTCGCTTGAAATCCATTATTACATTGATAAACTGACCAAATGATATACCTGTTAGTCGTGCTTGCAAAGGTCAACTTTCATATGAAGAAATAGACAAGTTTAATTGAATGTTGTACAGAAGACTTTCTTCTTTCTTGGTGTGGTTGTCGTAGCCTGGACACACCAGCAGATGGTGGTATCTTTTCAGCTACCTGAGTGACAGATTTCATATTTATTCATGTATGCATAGTCTCAATACCGGTGAACAAATGCCATCAAAATGTAATACTGTTTTCACTTGTGGTTACCTATCAAGTGAAGGTGTTGTAGACACCCAGATTGATTTCTCTTACATATTTAGTAATCATTTACATACTACCTAGTGGATATTCACACTGTGTGTTATTCTCGCGGGATTACGGACAACGTATCTTGCATTTGGTGTATAATAATTAATAAGAAATAGTTGTTTTAATCCAACTTCATTTCCAAATAATATTGTTTAGTGAACATTCGCACATTATTTCAACCACGATATATCGCTGGATACAAACTGGATTAGCGGCACGGTAAAAGAATTCAGTAGATTTTGACCAACTGCACTTGTGAATGTTGTAATTTATACAACGTTGCATTAGGTTTCACCGTCTCTGGGTGCACGTCCTAAACTTTAAACAAAACCTGTCAAAGCGAAACATTCCGGGTTAATTAATACACTCAAGTGAATAATACAACCACAGATGGGTTGGACACTTTATTACTGTGATGTACATCCGGTGGTCGACAAACACCGCTTTAAGATAAAATTTCGACAAACAACACTTCATTTAAATCCGCGGGTAAAATGTTGAATTAATGGACACTCCTCGAACCTGAGGCACTTAAGCAAGAGGATTCAATCGATACCAGGGCGACACCACTTAAATGATGAGGAAATAAAGCTATTGTATAAGCAACTTTGTGTAAAACTGGGCGGGTCGATAAATTGCCGAGCAGATCTAGGGCGAGGTTCATTATCGGGCCCCTTGAGCCGGTTTTTAAAGGTACGTAGACTAGTTTAAAACCACCCTATCATACTTTTATTCTTATTCACAATGACCAATCTGAAACCTTTAGGGAACTTACGTTCCTGGTGTCAAATCTTCCATTCAAGAGTGTAGGCCAACATTGCTCATGCATAAACATTTTAGTCTCCGTCACTAATTGATTTTTACATTGAAAATCTATTTTGGAATTATAATTATTTTTCTCTAGCAGTTTAGTGATTGGATGATTGCACCCCCTCCCATTATTATGTGTGCCAATTTAAAACGAAGTTAGTGTTGGAAAAAATTAATCAATGCTCAGTGAAAGTAATTACGGAACATAGATTACAATGCGCAACCACATTGTTTAAAAGCGGTCACGTGAGGGGCTATGTAAACAATACGGCATTAATGAACAAGCACCGAAGGCTGTTTGCGCTAATGAAGACGTAAACATGCTGAGTGACAACGGATATTTACATTAATTGCTTTTGGCGAAGTGGCTTTTAATTCTGTGTTTACTTGCTTTGAAATAAGTTGACATTAGCATTACCTACTGAAGTGCAATTTAACTTGGGCTCTGTTGTTCTGAGTGTAGAGAGTCCTTAACCGGCTGCGAAGCGTTTGCCACGGGGAGTACTCGTCGGTCGTACCAGCCTGGTTCGTCCAAAAGGTTCCGTGGCAATCTCTGTTCGTCGTTCCACAAGGAACTCGACCCCTTGCCGTCGACCGCCACCAGACGCAAGCGAAGCTGAAGGCCGCCAACCATAGATGCTGTATATCATTTTGTGAATTGTCAAAGAAGTGTAAGGCAATTGTAGAAACCTGTTTTTTTTTCTGTGGCAGAAAGTTCAAATCAGAGTTTTGGTCTTCTGTTCGTTAAAGTCGATGTCGTAGTCGGCTTGGATGTTTTTGAGGTTGTAAACTTGGTTTACTTTGGAACAACGACTAAAAAAGGTGTCAACTTTTTGAAAGAATTCTTGGACTTTATTTTGGATAATACATCCCCCATTTTGGATAATACATCCCCCTTTCCGTTCCCCGCCAAAATGCCCTATATATTTGACTGAGGAAAGCTAGCCCTGGATCGAGAGAGTCATCCAAATGAGCTTTTTTTATAGAAAAAAAAATTTAAGACTGGTGTCATTAGTGGGAACTGGACCCCGTTAGAGGAATTTCCAAAAGTGTTGATTTCAGGTTTGTAGACTAACATAAGAATTGCACGGGGAAGATGAAGTCGTTTCGTTTGTAGTGCCTCCCTACCACTGAGTTCCACATTAATTTGTCTCCCATTTAAATGCATACCGGATTCCAAGAACCTGAATTTGGAGAGCGTCATACATTTCACCGTCGTGAGTGTCGGACCATTCCAATTTTTTTTTAAATCCAAAGACATTTTTCTGCAAACTTTGAAAAAGTTGCACATAAATTTTTACGATATTAGGAAAAAAAAAAATGAATGAAACTTCTCAGAGGCATTTCCGTTATTTGAAAATATAATATACTGAGCTTGCTCAAGATTTATACCAACATTCGTTTGATGTATCCTTTTCCCCCTTTGCCGGTGAGTACAGCAATGGCAAGACGAGAGACTGAGATGGGATCCGATGGTCTATGGTAGGCTCGGTTACGTCACCGTGAAAATTCAGCATGTTTGGTATCCACAGATCATGGCGGTACGCATAAAATGCAATTTCTCATCCAGAATGAGAAGTCAATGGGCTTTGAGCTGGACCAAGAGAGGGCGCTATTTTCTTAGCAACAGAGGCTCCTTTTCTGTGAAAAGCAGGCTCCCAGAGCTTCTAAACCTGGATAATAGAGCCTAATCTTCCTTGTGGGAACTTCTCTGACCCATAAAATTGCTTACTTTGAACAGCTTAAGGGTAAAAAGACTCTTACTCTTTAATTCCATGGTAGAGGACCTCGCGGGAGAATATTGCCTCTATCAATATGAGTTCTCCGTGGAAATGTTGTAGGAGGCAATCATCTCCAACTTGAAGTCATTTTTAAACTTCTAGATGTCTAGGATTTGTTATTATATACAATGAACATTGGACTCTCATATATTATTTGCATGCACACACCCATCGCGCAGAAAGCCTTGAATTTGATGTCATCAATTCATGTGTGCGGGTTTTCTTTTTGTTCAAGCACGACGTGTTAATCATATCATTCGCAAACTGCCCCGCAGACGGCATACATGTTGCCAGTAACCCGATTACAAACCTAATTGGTTCACCAACCCATTAGTTGAGAGTTTGAACAAGGAGAACTTTAATTCAGAAGGCAGCACATTTTCTTGGGGAGACACAGCCCATGTGCTTATTAACTTTGTCGTTACAGCCTTTGTTCCCGTTGCTTTTTTTGTTGTTGATGATGTCATTTTGTTGTTGTTCACTTTCCTGTTGTCGTTGATGACAATGTTGTTCTTAATGTTGTCGTCTGTTTCGTTGTCGTTGTTGATGTTTTATGTTGTTCTAAAATACTGCTCATTTTGTTGTTGTTCATGATGATTTTATGTTGTTAATAATGTTGTTGTTGATTTATATGTTGATGATGTTATTTCATGTTTACAATGTAGCACTGTTACGGAGCAACTCTGTCAGTAATGGCGGCGACTGAACATGGGTCGCATGCTCGAGCTGATCCACTATATGCCAACAACAAACAACACCCACTCACACCAAACTTTTTTTTTTCGAATGGAGGACTTTCATTTCTTTAGGTCGACGCACTTGCACTATCCTTGACCAACCCCCCGTTCATTGTCATTCAGTTCGACTGAAATCTCATATTCCGGAGCCTTTCCCACGTCGGGAGCCTGCGGCGACAGATTGACGTGTCGTTGTGTTACTTCTCTTTGTTCTCTTGTGCCGTAACCCCTGGTAAATATGCGGGGACGTTATGCTTCATTTGAACTCTTCTGATCCGACGGGATCTTTATACTTGCACCCATTGCCTTTTTTCTATAGAGGGAGCTGGGAAGGGTTAATTTCTTGCTTTCAATCGTGGCTGTGGGCCGCACAGGCTTTAAAAGCATTCGGGGCCCCAAATGTTCACGGCAACAAAACAGTAACAGCCTGGTTCTGTTAATATGTTCAGTGTGGGCAGGTAAAATAGGTGAAAGAAATACCATCAGAACTAGGAAATTATTTCAATTTTTTTGTGTGCTGGCTCGTGTTGCGGTGCGAGTAGACTCTCTCGAGTCTGCACTGCCACCGCCCCACGAGGCGGGTGATCCCAAACCCGTGCTGGTTTGTAGGCTAAAAAGAAGTTCATTGTAAGGTCCACGCTCTTAACGACCTGGCTGCATTGACTCTGCATAATACGGATGGCAACCCCTTTCTAACAAGATCAATGGGACTTCACGAATTACCTTGATGTGACAGGCCTTGAGTTATCAGTGTCGGAAAATAATGAGTATGAAGACTAAAAATTGATCTTGCTATGAGCGGAATTTGTAAAAACACCGATCTTATTCTCGCTGGTCGACTGTACGGTAACAGCTAGCGCCACGCTTCACATCCGCTCAACTTGAAAAGTGGGTGCGTGAATTGACAAATGCCTTTCACAATACACGCCCCCGTACCACAAATCGGCTGCGTCCTTGCTTTATGGCTAAACCCACCTTTAACTACATGCCATGCTTGCGCTGCTACTACTGTGAATTTCTCGTTATGAGGTAAGTAGTTTCACTTGATTTGGTTGGTTCGGAGACGTATTTGACAAGGCTACTTACCGTTTGTCAAAAGGACGATGTCTTTATTCGCTCAATTTGAAGGATTGTTATTTCATATTCCCCTCCTCGATTCTTTTTTTTTTGGCCTCTCACACTCCTTTTCCCTTGATAAAATCTTTTGAAGTCATAACCTATTGTGTATTCTCCACACACCGAAAGTGTCACAGGTCAGCAATTTTTGTGACTACATATATATGTTGTAACGGAATGAAAACTATAATACTTGATATACTTTGACTGTAAATTCTGGTCACAACATGTTAAATTGTTATGGACAAAAGTAGTCAACTTAGAAATGATTGAACGGAGGCACGAACTCTTTTTTAAGGGTGAATTTAGTACTGCGATATTTGAATTGGTGTTATCTTTTCTGATACGTGTTTGACTTTCGTGTGTTGTAAAACCTTATACGACAGTACTCCAGCTATGGAGACAGGCAACCAGCGGCAGATTCGACTCGCCCGCGTGATAGCGAGCTACCAGGCAGCCGCGGCGGATGAGGACGCTGCTCCATCATCGGCCGGTGCAACGGACGGCCGGCCCCGCAAGCCTAAGGCTGGATTCACAGCCGACGTGTGGGACCACGGGGCTCTGGACGAAGACGACGAGGATGATGAACCGCAGTGTTGCCTGGGCCCAGACGAGGCCACCCTCCGCTACTGCCCGATGAACGAATCCTTGCTGCCCTTCAAACTCCTGTACGTCTTCCTTCGAGGAGGAGTGGCCTGCATCATGCCATATCTGTCGGTGTTTCTGAGCCTGCTGTCTCTGCCACCGTCCACGGTGGGTATTTTGCTTGGACTCCCCTGCCTGGTCATGGCCTTTGTCAACCCAGTCTTTGGGTTCGTGGCGGACAAGTTCCAGTGCCGTAAGGCGGTTCTTCTGCTTTGCCTGTCGTTGTGGTTCGCCTTCATCGTCTCAGTGACCTTCCTTCGTCCACTGAAGCCAGCGGCGTGCAAGGAAGTTGTGGATAACCTGTGGGAGGTGTCTCGGACGTTCCCGAAGGACTCGAAGGAATACCAACACCTCTTGTGCATGGTGAATAGATCCCTTGATGAGTACAGGATGGAGGGTAGGCCTGGCGGCCAGACTGAGGAAGAGCACTGGAAACCGGTTCTCAGCTTACTGCAGCTACCAGATCCATTCTCCACCGGTCTGGTCGGTACTTGTGCATCGACGGCTGCGAGAGACCACAAGGACCCGATCAGCGCGCTCACCGAAAACATCGAGCAGTTCGGGGCCCTCTTCATACCGCACGTCATGGCGCCCCCGAACGGTACAAGCGCCGGCATTGGCTGGCTGTTCGAGAGGGCTAGTCTCCTGCAGTCGTTCGTCAAGGTGTTCGTGCTGATGAGCCTGGGCGAGGTGATGCAGGGCCCCACCATGGCTCTGACCGACACAGCTACACTGAATGAACTGGGTGAGCAGCAGTGGAATCGCTACGGCTGGCAGAGATCATTTGGTTCGGCCGGCTTTGCTATCTAGTAAGTTCTTTATAAATTCGAACCCACGCCCCTTGACATGAATCTTACATGTTCGAAATCGATTAATTTGATATTGATTGTTTAAATAACCTTTATCGTTAAATAACTTCCATTGCTCCTTTGTACTTATTTTGCGGTCAATGACGAATCGTCACCTTACTTTTCTTTTACATTCAGCTCCATTGCCGTGGCGTCTTTCCTTGGTCTCATGCGATTTCCACAAATGATCTGTGGACTCGAAATCGAGATAATCGATTACTGTATTGGTACCGTGATGTTTGGAGGCACAGTCGCGTGTGCATTCGGCCTTCTCTTTGCCTGCTGCTTTAGATTCAAGGTAGTGAAAAAATTCTGTCCTCTCGTATAGTTTGGTAAACTTCTCGAACACTGATTTATCCTTTCTGATTGACATGACTTTCTTCCCAATTCTTATATTTGAGAGCAGAAGCAATATCAAATTTTCAAAGACTGGCCCACTTAGTAACCGTTTACTGTTCCATAAAAGGGTGTATTTACAGAGGCAACCAGAAAGTGATGACTGTCTCTTTGAACAGATGCAAAACAAGAAGGTATGAACAGTTGACAATAATTACGAAGCCCGAAAGCTCATAGAATGCTACCTGGCAGTACAAACATTATTCCTTTATCCGGTTCTTTTCTTGTCTGTTCTTTTCATTTCAGTATTACACAAACGCAGAGTACAAGTTTAGCAATGTGCTGCCGGCCCTGTGCTCGGGTTACTACGGCTCCATCATGGTGACGGCCCTGGTGTTAGCCGTTTGCAACGGCTGTGTGGCCGGGTACCTCTCATGGCATCTCCGGAGCCTCGGTGGGTAGAATTGAAGTTGACCGCTCAGACCGGACTGATGTCGGAAACAGCACACTGTTTTCGCTTAGTTCCAAAGACTGAAACGAAAGACTAAACTACCAATAGTCAAAATTACTTCGAATTTAATTTAAAAATCGCGTGGGACGTCAAATGACATCGGGATCTTTATTGGAGTGAAAAACATTTACTTGAATTCATCTGACTTGTCTTTGATTTCAGTTGGGGGTGAATACTACTCAAAAATAATGGAGTGTATTTTCACTCTTCAGAGTTCAGATGTCATCGATTGTGAATCCTTTGTCCAACACAGACGCTGCATCACATAGTTTCAGTATTGCAGATGTTGGGGTGAAGGAAGATCTGGGAGCAGTTTTCACCGAATAGACTATATTCACGTGGAGGCCATTTTTGATCTTATTCCCCAAATCTGTTTTATATATTGCAAATTGTCGATTAGGATGGCACCAGACTGTTTTATGTGTGTTCCAAGCCTCCCTATCAGTAATCTTTAGAATCTGGCAAGGCACAATTCTATGTGTTCAATCATGAATTTGAAATTATTTCTCAGAGTAGACAGGTGCAAATTTGTCAGGAAATTTCCTTTTTAATGCTTTCATTTGTACTTTCAACATTCAAAAATGAAGAGTTAACCTCCCTTTCAAATTCAATGTGACCTGCCCCGCGAATAAATTCTACAGCCCTTTAAAGGATTGGGCTTTAATGGCGGCTTTGACACGTAGCACTCTAAAACTGACAAGTGACCTGAATTATTTTAAGTTCGCCAGGATGTTGTGACCTATTCTCTGTGCTTGTCGTGCAAAGTACATGTGTCTCATTTCTTTCAAAACTACCAACAAACGCACCTTAAAACCGAGAGATGTGTGTTGACTCCGAAATTGGATGACAATTGTCGATCGAAATCTGGAATTCGCGAATTGAGCGCATCTGGTTTCGGCAAAATTAGAATCAAGTTACTGTCCATTTGAGGCTTTAAACATAAATGGCAAGAAGGGCTGGAATGTAAGTTTGAATATTTACAGGTCATTTCCTATTTTATTAGCAACGACCTAGCTGAGGAAAATCGAGACATTTTACAGTTTACTTTTGTTCTTGGGTTGATGAATGTAAACGGAAGGCATTTCCTCTCTAAGAAATGGGCGAGGGTCAGGCTGAAACCTCACCCGAACCTTTCATTAAAATGTGGGCGAAACGGTAACTCAATCCATTCCCCAGGTGCGACCGAGATTACACTGAGCCTGGTGCTAGCCGTCCGGGCCGGGTCGGAGCTCCTTCTCGCCTTCCATACACCCCGTCTGATCGGCTGCTCCGGCCACGTCGAGCTGCTTTTCGCCGGCCTGCTGGTCTACTGTCTCCGTTTCCTCTGCTACGCCTTGGTGACCAACCCGTGGATGGTGCTGCCCGTGGAGGTGTTGCACGGTAGGCTGTCTCTCCTCTAGATTACGATGGATGAACCTCGAGCTTTTGAGCAATGATGAAAGAATGTTAATTGATTAATTCAACCGGTGAGAAAATGGTTCAGAGACATGAATGTGTGGACGACACCTATCGGATCAAGTGCATGGAATTCGCAAGCCAGTATGCGTGGGACTCTAACCCTGCTCACAGTAATAAAATAGGTACAGATAAATAGGTACCATCCCGGTGTTGGTTGACGTGTCTCTTCTTTTGAGAAGTTTCTTAGCGACGCAGATCATGTGACATCTCTCTGTTTTTCAACTCTATGTTTGCAGGGATGTCAATAGCACTGACATGGAACATCCTGGTGTCTTTACTTTGCCGCGCCGTGCCCTTCGAATGCATGGCCACGCTGCAGGGCTTCCTGAGCGGAATCTACTTCGGTCTCGGTCACGGCATCGGGGCCATCGCCGGCGGGTTCATGGTCACATCCTACGGGGTCCTGTGGACATTCTACAGCTTCTCGTTCGGCGTGTTTTGCTACGCCATCGGTTTCTTCCTTGCTGTCAAGGTAAAAACAAAACTATGTGATTCTGCATCGCAGGTCTGACTGATGCAGCGTGTTCTTAGACATAGTACTTATTGTTTTAAAACGTGTTGCAAAGTCCTGTCTGATTAACAAAATCAAGGGCCAATTTTCGTTTGTTTCCTTCCTTTTCCCCCTTTCCTTTAGGATTTTTGTTTTTATTTCAGGAGGTTTTCCCTTTTCACACTGCTCTCAGCCCACGTGAACACATTTCTGAACCGTTCCATTCACTCTTTCACTTTCACGTGGACTTGACGACTTGGAAAAAATTGAGCTCAACTCAGTCTGTTTCCACCATTTTTAAACAGTCCTGAATTCGGTGTTTATGGCTATCTCCCCCCCTTGTTTCACAGGCCTTCAGACCACCCAGGAAAGCTGTGACCAGCTACCAGATGCTGTCGTCCAAGGACCCTCTCTGGTGATCGTACGGTTGCTGCTCGGACACGACCCGGTCTTCACCTTATTATTCTCTTACTCCTTCTTCGCGCCCATGAAGCCCAACCGCCTATTCTCATTCGCAGGCCCTATTCAAATGAAATTCTTATTTGAAAATGTCGCTGCCATCGGCGCTTGCACATAGAAATAAATTTATTTTGAAACTCATTTAGTCTCTTTTTTGGACGAGTTCATTGGGCTTTAAATTGCTAAGTACTTAATATTTTAACTATCTTGCGCCGACACTTTAGTTTTCAGATTTGTGTTATTTTTCAGTTGCCATTTGCCAATGTGGGCGATTCACAAGAGCGCGCCTCCAAGAGTTTGCAACGCATTAACCAATCACAATGCGCGTTTGGAAAGGGTCGATAGATTTCGCGCATTGTGATTGATCAACGCGTAGTAAACTCTTGGAGGCGCACTATTGTGAAACGCCTGTATTATTCCAAGTTGTCTTTGTTATTCTTCGTTCCAAAACAGAATTGCTGTGTTGTCAACTCCAAAGAGAGTTTATTCAAATAGCATTTGTTACTTCTACGCATTTTTGTATACATGCATATTTGTTGGTACACAACTATTTCAAAACGTAGCTTAAATCCCACCGCTGTATTTTATCATAACCTTTTAACTCTGAAATAAAACTGGTTGGTTGTATCGCTTTATCTGTTTGATGAACGCAAAATGGTAAAGAATTTATCTGACAAATTATGCATATATTTTAAAAGATCAATATAAAAAGATCAAAGCTACAAGTACTGTTTTAAAGTCGGCACCTTGCATAGTTTTATAAAATAGATTTTTAAAAGTTGCAATATGGCGTTAAAAAGTTGCGTAATAAAGCCAAGCAAAATTTTATGATTGATTCCACAACCATTTATTCAACGTCTGATGAATCAAATTTGTATAAGGACCTTCGATAATTGTTCAGTTTCGTGTGAATTTTCCATCGAGACATATTTTGTGCAAGTATTTCCCAGAACGGCAATATTAACAACATCAAAACGCCCGCTTACTTAAATTTTCGAAGTGTACATGTTTAAGCATACATTTAAAATGCATGTTTTGTCCCTTGTAACTTTGAAAGCACTTGGGACGTACTCCAAAGTGTAACTTTTTTTGGTACTAAATCTAAACCGCAAAATTGAGTTCTATGAAAAATGGCTGGGTGTTTATTTCGCTTACTGCTTGACATGTAGTGGGTGAACATCGAGACACAAAAAGTTCATATCATATCCACACACCCAGTCTGGTAACTCCTGAGGCGTCGAAATCTTTGAATACCGTGTACCTTCTTAAAGCATCAGGTTTTCCACCTCATGCACAGTACAGGACAGTGCTCATTTGTGTTGAAACCCACGAGGCTGGCGAAAACCCCCTTAAATTGCAGTTCGAGGATTGGAAATTGAAGGTGAAATGAATGTGCTGCCTTCCCAGGAATGCGTCTTGAAAACTTCAACTGCAGTACATGGTCCTTCAAGGCCACTACATAAAAAATAAACATTATTTGGTACACATCAGCAAGCACTCTGATCTGGTTGCCAATGCATTTCATACCGATACTGTTGTGCAAGATGTCGGTCGTCATTATATTGCATGCCTGAGCCGTCGGGTTAGTCATTTGCATTTAAATTCCGTAAGGTAACCCTTTTGGTAACTTAATCCCTATTCAAATTCCCTGTCCTCTGCCCTTTCAAATTACGACTGCGAAGAAAGTGCAGTGCCAAAAACCTCCTACGCAAAAGTGGAGATTTATGGGGGGCGTGTAGACCTTTTCAGAGAGCGAAGTGAACCGTGGCGTTTGGGAAATCACACAGTGGGGCTGCGGATCCATCATGGCGGACCTGGAACCGAGCTCTGAGAAGAGAGAGCGGATACTTCAGGCTCTGGACCAGGCAAGCCAGCAGGGGGCTTCCAGTCAGGAAGAGCAAGATGGGAAAGCTACGAAGCCTGCGGCGAGGACCGAGGGGAGGAAAAAGGATTCGAACTGGGGCTCCGGGACGGGAGAGAGCACACCCTTCTGGGAGCTGGTCTGGGACTGCTTTCACGTGAACGCGATGGTCCTGGAAAACAAGCTGATATACTTCATGCTGAGCGCTGGCACCGCCGGGGTCTTGCCGTTCCTGTCCACGCACGGGCTAACGTGGGGACTGCCGCCTTGGCACTTTGGGTTGGCGGTCGGCGCCGGGCTACTAGTGGCGTTCGTCTTCGTCCCCGTCTGGGGCTTCGCTGCCGACAAGCTCCGCTGGCATCGGGGCATGCTCTGGGCAGTTGTGCTGCTGTGGATGGCCTTCACCATCCTTGCCGTGTACCTCCCTTACCAGCCGAAGCCGGCACCTTGCGAGGTAGCCCAGGGTTTGCTCCTGGAGACCCTGGATGTCTCGTGCGAGGGGGATGACTTCAATTCTCCTGAGAGCAGTGAGCGTAGACATTCCTCCTTCGGCTACCTAGGCCACTATCCCGTCGTCTTGGAGACGTGGCCTGAACCTTGCACTGTAGACATTGGGCAGGTCTGTTCCTCCTTTAATGACAGTGAAGTTATGCCTCGCCTTACCTCACTCACCAATTCATCCGTCCCAGATTGGGAAGTGGGAACGAAGGACTCCTCGCCTCCACCGAATTTTACGAAGGTTGAGGCACCCTCGTTGTCAGAGAGGACCCCAGTCACACCCGAGGTCCAGGAGGCGCCCGGCGGCGTGCTGCGACAGACGCACCTCGGCTGGCTGTACGACCAGGCGATGCTCCACCGAGCCTCCCTCGTCGTGTTCATCCTTGCGGCCGCAGGATGTGCGGCCCAGATCTCTAGCTTCTCTCTGGCGGATGCGGCGGCTCTAATGTCTCTCGGTGAGGCGCAGAGAGATCGCTACGGCTGGCAGAGATGCTTTGGAACACTGGGATTTGCTCTGTCGTAAGTGAGGCAACAACTCCTCTTCTGCAAATACCGTACTCGATAAAAGCGAATGCAGTGCACGACTCTCATTTTGGGCATCGATGCCTAAAGTCTCTGTACTTCTCATGTGCATTGTTATCTATAGTTTTAACAAAACCACTCCCTGAAAGGTATCAGTTGATGAAAACTTTCAATCTTTAGACTCCTGTGCGTAAATTTTGTAAACTGAAAACACTAGGTAAAATCGGATTTTAAAACATCCCCTATACACATACATTCTCTTCATATTTTCTCTCAAAAACGAAAGCACACAAATAAAGACTAGCCACCAAAACAAACACTCAAAAGGGCGTGCGTGGTGAGCACAATTTCATGTGTGTGATGTCCCGGATGCCGGATATCTTTCCTAGCCAGTCTGGAGAACGTGAGCAGGTCATAGTTGAGATAAAATTCGGATTAATAAACAAAATGGAAAGAGTTCCATAATATGCAGACGCCCACTTGACACCCCGTGCATAAATCCTTTCAGACTAGTCTGAAAAATTCCAAGTGTTTTCTAAGTAAACTACTCGGTATTTTCCCTCCTGAATTGAACTTTTCTGGACATGTTTTTACTTTCTGACAGATAATAGGTGACTGTAGGGAATAATTACTGACGTCCGTATGTGAAACACTTTCCAATAAAACTAAAGATAGTTGAGGCCTTAAGAGGTCCATGGCAGTCCACCACAGAGCCAATTTACAAGCTATTCAAATGAGTTGTGACAAAATCATTCCTTTTACTTCAATTGCTCACTCTGTTCCTTATGGCTAGTCTTCGTGAAAGGACTCGTGATGGACTCACCCACGGTTTCGAAAAGTACTGGTAAAAGAAATGATCTATACGAGACAACTCTTAACTCGACTTAGAACTGCCCAGCTGAGCTGGTTTTGCTTGTTGATTTCTCGTTTATTTCATCCATCCCTTTCAGGTTTGTTGTGGTTTCTGTTTTCTTAAACGAGTCCCGACAGACTAAACTCAGTTGCGGAGTCACGTGGGAGCAGACTGACTATTTCTTGGGCGTGGTGGTGTTCGCGGGCTTCATGACCATCGGCACTCTGCTGGCCAGTTGCTTGCGTTTCAAGGTATTGGCTGTCCAAGTGTTCCATCCGCTCCGAGCGGGAACAAGAGAGGGCGAGTATCTGCATAGCAAAACACTCTCTCCCTCTCTTGTTCGTGGACGGAGCCTATTTTCGGGCGGTTTGATTCCCAAGATTCTGTAATGGACGCACAGACATGTAAAGCACCCCGGGGTGGCATTCTTGTGATCGCATTCAGCCTGTGCGCGTGCCGGGCGCACCCAAAAGTCTCGACTAGCGTTTTTATTGTTCAAACGATTTCTCTCCTAAAAAGAAATTATGTCTGTGATTATACCCGATCCGCCCTGAACTGAAGTGCACCCTCACCGGCGAAAGAAAGACAGATGGTACTAAGTTTTCCAACTGGGTTCTAACACGCGTTAGCGTGCACGCGAAGACCACTCATTCTAGACTAAAATCGTTGCGCGTACTAAACGTGCTCGTGTCAAACGCGCATAAATCGCCGCACCTGAACGGTGCGCGAGTACCAAAGGACTGTCAATTTCATTTTAACATACGCCCTCTGTTGTTCCTGCTCGGAGCGGATACCGTAAGCTTACTGTGGACATTAGGCTATTCCAGGGCCCCGTGCATGAGGACCAGAGGAACCGCGAAATTACAATTGAGCGCGGGTGCTTGAAAAGCGAAGTAATGACACCAACAGACGAAGCAGAGGAACCAGAGTATGCAGCATTAATCGTAAAAAGAGTCAACCTATTTTGGACCATTTCACAGAGGGGGAGGGGCAGACTCCGCCCCCTAAGAACTCGGCTGTCCCACGCCTGATCATTTTAGGACTTTGCATTCGTATAAAAGCACTCCTTATCATAACAAATTTGGAGTTTGAACCCAATCATACATGCAGTTTTGCTGTTAAGATCATTTGAAGTTGAAAGCCACACGTGTGCCAATCCTTGTGCATTGATCATGACAGTGAAAACCATACAATTTTACTGATCTGTCTCGTAAAAATGGGGATTGCGCGATAATGGCATGTTCAATTTTAGCAAACCTGATGTCAACATGGCTGCAAAGAGTAACGGAAAAAACTCCAAAATGCTGAGCTTGTAAAAAAGAACCACACTGCTGCGATATCAGAAATAAGTTGTTGAGGACGCAATCCGCCCCTGCTCCATGTAAGATTAATGAGCACCTCTGAGGAAAACATGCTTTCTCTGATTTTATCTGCTTAAATAAATATGGAAGCATCCAAATTCGAACGCAGTGTCATTTGTCTTCAGAACTCAGCTATAACAAACCAAAAAGGATTCTGAATGTAGATTCGGAGAAAACGAGGGAAACCCTCGTCCTGTGTTCGTAGTGGATAAACCTTGTGCATTCCAAACAATGGCTCTGAATGACGCAATCTACATTCACAATTCGATTCTTGGCATGAACAGAAAACAGTCCTTTTTAGCTTGTTATAGTTGAGCTATGAAGACAAAAAGTGGCACTCCGTTCGATTTGAATAAAATCAGAGAAAGCATGTTTTCCTAATAGAGGTTCTTTTTTAACACAGAAGCATCTGCATAAGTGACGTGGAAGAGAATGAAAGTTCATGACATCTCATCTAAATTATATATACCAATAATCTTAACCGGTAGGCCCTAACTGTAACAATAAACTCGTAAAGTCTGTGTCTTTTTGCTTTTCTCCACCAGCACAATGACATGTCTTCCCAGCATACTTTGGGGCACGTGACTGGGGTCATCTTCTCACGAAAGTTCTCCACCGTGTTCGTCACCGCGTTTTTCCTGTCTTTCTGCAGCAGCGCAGTGCGCACCTTCCTCTCGTGGCATTTGCACGAACTAGGTGAGGCCACAATGTTTAAGGTAGAGGAGATTGTGAGAATACAGAAAAGGCTGAGAATTAAATTCGTTACAAGCAGCGTCAAAACGGTCCTGAGCCACCAAGATGAGATCCCAATCTCAGTCTTCACCAGTCAGCGAGGTCGCCAGAAAACGCCCTGCACTAATCTCTGGTCTGTTATAATGGCGATCCTTGTGACAACATAAACATGTATACCTAACGGACTATCCCTTTTTGTAAAACAGGCGGAACTTCCATCCTCTTGGGCGCCGCCATCTTGGTGTTCACCCTGGCCGACATCCTGACGTCGTTCTGCACTGTCTGGATCGTCAAGAAGGCCGGGTACCATATCCCGCTGGTTGTCGGCATCGTCGGTTACTGCCTGGTCTACCTGAGCTATGCCCTTCTGTCTCGGCCTGGCTGGGTAGTGGTCATCGAAATTATTCACGGTAACTCTTGCATTTCATTCTACCCCTTCTGCTTTCATCTTCTTCCGAATGAATAAGGATACTTACAAAGATGCAAACACGTTTAGCAACGTGATGTTGAAGTTGAAGATTACGAAAGTGTAGTAATCCATCCGTCGTGTTCGAACTTGCTTTTTTTCCTTCTTCGTTCCCAACCCAAATGTACAATTGTTCAATTTTCGATTATCTTGAAACAATAATTTACCAAAATGGCAGAAGATAATCAACAACATTTTACACCATTTGCTCAACTTATTTGGTCATGTCTTTGACCCTTTAATACTTCGTTTCAGGTGCATCTTATGCCGTTACTCTGAACACGATGACATCGTTTTTAGCTTCGTCCGTGGCGCTTGTCAGTCAAGCCTCCGTCCAAGGTCTGCTGAATGGTATCTACTGGGGTCTGGGCCCAGCCGCGGGGACGGCCCTGTTTGGCTTTCTCGTTGACGTCATTGGTCCAACACTGTCGTTCTACATCCTGACGCTGGTTTGCGTAGTATACGGACTGGTTTTTCTCGTCTGGAATCGGGTAAGCTGAGCGAGGGATGCCAGCCAGTTTTTGTTAGAAAGTGGTGTTCGCTACCGAGGCCTGTTCAATAAATCTATGGTAGTCCATCAAGCGTGCTGTCAGGCGTCTAGTGCAGACGTGTGTGAGGACAACTTGGCAACACTTTTATTTGCACCTTCCTTTGGGGTCTTTTACGAATTGAAAAAAAAAGACAGGTGCATCATCACTGAAAAAAATGTCATTTTTGCAACTGAGACTTGAAACCTCGATACGCCTGCGACCGAAATGCATGTATACAGCACTGAAGGGTCAAAATTAAACCCAAGAAACTAGTTTGTTTTTTTTATGGGTAGCAGTTGTCAATGTCAGATGTCCTTAGTTTGTTCGAAGACACAGGGACTTGAGTCTGAGTGCATGTCTGAGTAGCTCATTTTATTTAAAAAAAAAAGAGCATTTTCAATCTAATTATAGATGCCATAACTGCGGTCGTACTGCACTCACGCACATTCTTCAGCCCGACGCACATCACGACACCCTATTGGTCGAAGAGGCGTGTAAGGCGCGCGCATCACCTATCCGCGGGAAGGGTCGTATTCGATTCCATCTCAAGTCCCTGTAAGTTCATCACAAGTCCGCCAGTCATTCTGTCTTAAGCCAATTCACAAGCTATTCAAACGAACACTGACAAAAGCATTCTTTTGTCCGATTATGCACTCTTTTACGTATGACTGGCCTAGGAAGTGACTTATGACTGGACTTGTGATGCACTCGAATACAGCCGCTGTCCACGAGCTTGGTGCAACCTCAGTAATGGCTTCTATTTCCGCTTGTCGAATTACACTTGCAGCAAAGCTTGCATTGCACAGATACTGAGATCAAAATCCCTTTTTTTAAACAACCCATTTCAGAATGAATTGCCGCTGATCGACAGATATCTTCCTGGTGAGTACCAGCCTGTGAATCAGGACGCTGACTGAACGGACGCACAGAGGCGAGCAAGTCTATTGAATTTACATTGCCAGACACCATCCAGGCACCATCCAGGCTCGTTACAAATTTCTGTGTGTGTCTTTAAATTCATGCAACTGACACTTTTTTTCCACCAATTTACTTTCTGTATGTTAAAGTGAATTCTAAAAAAATTGCTCAAAAATGTGACACTGCAACCAAAGTGCCCAGTTTTACTCTTAGTTTAATTTTGTTTATTAGGTTTAACTTCAAAACCCAATTATTTGGACAGTCGAACTGAACATTCTTTACTTTTCTAAAGGAAGAAAAAAACAAAGTGACCCGCTCCAGCGAAAGGAGTCGAGCTTCTTCATGACTTTTTTGTTAAGAAGTGAATTTTAACCAATTTTTTTACTAGAGAAATAAAATGTGAAGCTTTAGGGCTTGAAATTATACCAACCCAGGCACAATCCTGGTAAACTGAGAAAAACTCAATGATTTATGTATATCAAACGGAGGAACTAGGACATGATCCATGTAATGTAAGCCCCATATAGGGAGGACTAAAAGTGTGAAAAGTCCATAAGATTCACAAATACTACTGAGCAAGAAAGATAAAAAGAATTATTCCTCGCAAGGTTATTTTCTTGTCACAGATCTGGCTGCCCCAAAATTATTTCTTCCGATTCTCCAACCAATGATTGATTGAAAAATGCGAAAGGGGTTTTCTATAATACCTATAGGTAGCCTTGATGTTCGGCTCCAACATGTTTGTGACATAGTTGACTTCACTTTTTTATTTGCATTAAGAAGCAACTGTTGAAGTTGCATTATAAAATTTATCCAACCGGCAAAGTCTATAGCCATTGGTGGAAAATGCACTGAAATTTAAATATTTTATTTGCAAACTTATTTCCTGCGAATGGAATACCTTAACGGTTAAGCAATTCAGTTTATTTTCTTTAAACTTTAACGTTAATATTGCTATCATTGTAAAAAAAATTAATGTGTACTTTAGCAAGCAAAACAATACAGTATAAAAGCTATTTTGCTTGCTCATTCATGCTTAAAAAGGTATTCCTTCGATGTTATTTGATAAACCATGTCAATTTTTGGTATAAAACAGAGGACTAACAGTTCACAGAACCAATTTCACCTTTAACTCGTGCGTGAACTAATGAGCACGACACGAGCAAATTTTAAAGAACTTTCTCCGCGTGCCTTTAAATATTCACATTGTCATACAAGTGCACTGTGTGCAAGAATTACTAATATAATCAACTAACTATTTATCGGTGATTGTCCATTTTTTTTAATCAAAATCAACAAATTTTGGCAGTTGATTTATGTCATTCTAGAGACAGGCTAGTGAATGAAACTCAAAAAGGCAAGGCCCTCAAAATTTATTTTCTTGATCTGACATCACAATTTCACGTCAGAGTGTTATGCCCTTTTCCATACGGAAATTAAGGAGAGTTCATTGATTATGCTGTTTGACCTGTACTGTATAAACAAATAATATCCATGTTTGCAAAAGTATTTTATACCATTTTGTATTGTGTTTGTGTCATCTTTATGTTGAACAAATATGTGCAGTATGGACTGTGTCCGAATGACCATAAAATATACATTGATATACCATCAGAAACTCTCATTCCAAATCTGAAAAGAGTGCCAAAACTAACTCAGACCTGTCCTTTGTTTAAAACATCAGCAGTCATTCAGTAACAGAATAAAAGTATTATTGTTTTGGTAGTGACACCCACCATAGGTCACCAGCCACTCCTACGCTAAAAACAAAAGCAACAAACAAAAAAAAAATAAAAGAGGGAGGAAAGAATCATTCATTTTGGCTGCTTCTATGACTAATTAGGAAGCGAAGCCCGCGTGATAATGTTACAGCTTTAACCGAAAGGCGGTTACGTCAATAGAGGGCGCTGTGAGAGGCCATAAAATGCAATGTTAGGTTTCTCTTGTGAAGCGCGGTTTGGTGTTGTAATAGAGCTTCATTTTTAGTGTCAGCCATATTTCAAGTTCACTCATTTTCATATGGTTTATAACTGAAAAAAAGGAGAGCAGATCCCGTTTGTTCACTACCTACGGTTTTGTTATTCCTGAAATTGCTGACCACGTTAAACTTTTTTTTGGTGGGCCTATCAATCAAATTCAGTCACAAAACTCAGGAAGGGAACTTGAAATTTTAACACGTTCCAACTTCCAATAAGAAAATTGGTTCAAAACGTATTAGATAATCTGTTTTATTCCTGCCAAAATCTCGTCCCCAACTTAGCCAACTGGAAGAATATTTTATTCTAAGAGACCCCACATTCATGTGCAACGCCCTGTGCTAAGTGTTCACGTTTTATTGTCACACAACAGCTCAACGCGGCTGTTATGATAATACGCGTTGGAGCCATTATGTACAATGTCATGAATAGAGGATGCAGGGACATCGCGTTGCTGTTAGGTGTTACGTAACGCGCTTCGATCGTCGCATTTCAATTCAAGGTGGCGGTCGTTTGGCCGGTCCACTCCGTTCCTGAGGGGCTCGCACGGCACAAAAATGTTTCATTCCTGTCAAAACGGGTGGTCTGGGGGATCGGGGGACGATTCAGGGGTGCTGTGACCGATCTGGGAGAGGTAGTGTGGGTCGTAACGGTGGAGATCTCAACCAAAAAGGCGCAAAAAGGGAACGAATTCCAGCTGATTATTGCCAGCAAGTGGGCCCCTCATGGGCGTCAAACCACCCCGCCTTGACCATTGGACGATGGCCGGGCTCCGCAATAACCTTGGAGTCGGACATGCAGTCAGAAATGCCGGGCAAGGGGCATTCAAAGCGGCCCGAGAGGGGATGTAAATCCATCTAAAGAGCTGAACTGGCCGTTGTGAACGTTGTGGCGATAGTAACGACAACAGCCGGTCCAAGAATTATTATGCAGGATTACGCAACTCGTCTGCCTGGGCTGTCTGCTTCCAAACTAATTAACCATAGATTCGGACCTAAGTCCAAGTCCAGCTAACTGCACTGTATACAGTTGCGTGTTGGGAAAGCGAATGCGTAGGATCACGGCTGCCGCAACCTTGTCGTTGAACAACCCAGTTCCATCGCGCTCTCTCTGTTCGCTTGGTATAATCCACCGGCAACCATGTTATCGTCGTACCGGTGGGGACCCTACTCCATCCCGGGGCCTCCCCCGACCCAAGCATCGGCAGATCATCCCTCAGCCGAGCAAGGTAAGTCCTTGTCCTCTCACATCCAAGCAGAGATCCGTGTTCCTCGTTCCTCTACGGTCCATCTGGTACCACCTTTGGTGTATGCGTGAAGAAAATGAATTGAAAGATTTACGGTATTGGTGCACGCCTGTTGGCGCTAGCGGGGAAGGGGCACCCGTTACCATTATCATTAGGGGCCCTACACCGTTGCTTGGTATAATCTTCGGGAAAATATGCTGCCGTTCATTGTTGTTCGTAGGGGGGTAAGGGTCCTGTGTTTTTGTTTTCGTGAGTACATACCGTAACATGCAAATGAGTTTATGCACGGCTGATCAGTCAACTTGGAGGAGAGGTCTGTGATCATGTTAATGTTTGGCTATCCATGGCCATAGTTAGGCCAGCCTGTGGGTTAATAATGGCATGATTTTTTTAACACAAAGCAAGACGTGAACCTTATGTCTTACCGCCTCGCACATGGCTGTGCTATGGACGAAATTAAGACACCCGTCATGCCCATTGACCATTAAAACGACAAACACAAACAATGATAAGACCAAACTAGACAAAGGTGAAAATATGAGGAAGTTTATTTATTCGCACGACAGAAAAAAAAATCGATTTCCTCTGCCTTCAAAGTAGTATGCTTATCGCATATTCATGAGCGGGTTACTCTATGGGGGGGGTGAAAGATTCTCTGCATAGTAAATGAACTTGAATGGGGAAGCAATTTGGCTTGTGGTTGCTTGCACTTCTCTGTTCCCGATTACGTCGGAGTGTTTGCTATGCAGATAAGCTTAAGATAACGGTCCACCGTTTCACAGACCTGGCTCCGGTGAGCTTGGGCAGGGAGTCGACTTAATCCGGTTCGAACCATCTTTCCTTTGTTACGGTCATGAGGGACAATGGCGGCGAAGCCGCGAAAATCACCAACGTAAGCCATGGACTGTGAAAGGAAGAAGAGAGGGCGAGATTCCAGTGAGTCCTCCTTAACAGAAAATTATAGTCTGGTATTATACAGCTAAGCCGGTATGCATGATGATCGAAGGGTAGGCTCTTGCATAATCTGAAGTGTTCTGAATGGCCTATATTTAACCCTGACCCCCTAGGGTGTATGTAAAATCATATTGAAATTGGAGGATTTGGGACTGTGAGGGTTAACCATGGAGGAAGGAATTTAACGTAGCCCTTTTCAAACTTCACACTACATAAACTGTGGTCTTAAAATCAACACTTTTTGATGTTATCAGATGATCACACCATAGGGTGTTACTTTAACACCGCTGGTGTTACTTTGAACACCTGTGTTACAATACACTGGAGGGTGTGAAAGGTAACACCAGGTAACACAATTCTTAGCTTTCAGATTCATCTCAAAGCCTACCATTCTTTCAAGGAAGTGGCCAGCTCAGGACACAAGTCCAGAACAAAAACCTCTGATATTCTGTGCGGGCTTTGTCTTTCATATGAATGTCCTTAAAAATACTGGTCCAAAATTAATTACGAAAACGTTATTTTTCGGAACCGGAAATCTGAGTTGCACTTGCAAACCTGGTGTATCAACATCTTTTAGTATTACTACCTATCGATTCTGAAGTATCGTTTTACAAATACGTCCTCACTTTTTTGTCTAAACAAGAAATGTCATATAGAGCAGAACTTCAAATCAGAAATGGATATGTAATATTCTTTGCACAGATTACCTTCCTTTGAAATGAACTTGTTGTCTTTGGCACGGATGACTATAAGTTGCATAATGCGAATCCTTCCTCATGTTACAATCATATCATTATTGCTCTTTGCATGTAAGGTGTTTTCAACGAGAAATGCCACAGGGGTCCCAATCGTTCAGGTTCGGGGCTCTCAGATAACTAAAATGTTGCGCCTAGCGAAGTTGCACATATCCCAACTCGAATAAAAGCAAAACATTTTTTGAAGTTTATAGCCCTATTTGTATTATGGAATCAAAATACCTTTTGCATTTTGTAAAGAAAAAAGACGAAGTGAATTGAAGACGGGTTAAAAAGAATGCTGCTGGTTGCAGGCGAGAGCTTGCCAGTAGAAGGAAATATCAATGAAATAAACGTGATCTTAATTCATGTGACGCAACATGCCAGTTTTCAAATTTGGCAACGCCGAGTATAAGCCAACCAGGAAACGAACGAGTGCTATGCTAGATTTGTGAGAAAACAATGGACTTCGAAATCCTACACTGCTGAGTTGTGTCAATGGAGGCACGCCTACGCTGTGTGCATTGGCCTAATTCACTGGGATGTTTTCGTGGGAAATGAATCTGTTTCATAAATTGTAAGCTTTGGGGCAGACTATTTCGTAATAGGCGTGCGTTTCAAGTCTTCCTTTCAATTTGTTTTCGACATTTGGCATGAAACACATAGACGTTTTAATCGTAAATGTGAAATTATACAAAATTTCATGTTACTTCCTTCATTTCTTTATACACTCTTGTTCGCAACTTGGAAAGTTAACCTCGTTTCCAATTCAATATGGCCGCCTTAAAGAAATAAAGTCGAGTTGCCCTTGTCACGGTCATTGTGCTTCATGATTCACGGGCCAGGTATTCAAAATTTGGGGCCCACTCATCCCTCTCAGCACGCTGGCCGACCGCATCAACTGTATCGCTCATTCAAGTGCACGCTGAGAGGGCCCCATCCACACCGGATTAGTCACCCCAGTTTTTACGAGGAATCCTTGGTCGAATTTTTGCAGGGTGGTATTGTACTGGGTTACGTAACAACGTGCGGTTTGATCGCAAAAATGATGTTGTTGAATGCTTATTTTGCACGAAACGACCGGCGCCACGGCTCGACGGCCGCCATTGTATACATGAGGGCCGTCGCTCCAATTTGGTTACAGGGAATCGAAGATATTGGTTCTGCCTTGTGTTTCTTTCCGGATTTCGCAGCAAAATGTTCAAGTTGTCGTTTGAGTAAAAGGACGGATTTGTTTGAAGAAATTGCTGCCCCTATTTTATAACTTTTGAGACGAACCAAACTAGGCGCCATCACTTTTGATCAATTATTCTATTAATTTCAGTGCTTGTCAAAAGCACCCTTGACTTCTACCATTGAGTTGTGAAAAGGAAGTTCAGAGACATGCCCAAACTCTTTTTACCAATGAAACGCTTAACGACAAAAGAATAACTTAGTAAACTTTGTAGATGAGATTTCTCCTCTTTTGTTCAGAAATGAAGCCATTACAATAATAAATAAAATGTTTTGAAGGTGGTCGTTTTTCGGGAAATATCCAAAGTTGTCCTCTAGGGAATCATTGTTTGGAAATGAGAGCAACTTCTGCAATAAATTATGCTGAACTGACCAACCTTTTTCTCCGCTTTTTTATCTTTAAAAAAAGCACAGACATTACACAGCTTGCAATCAGATTCAAATTATAAATCTGTGTGCTGGTACATTGCTTGGCAACATGTTGGTGAGGATGGGCGCTGGTTATGGGGAAAATCAGGCTTTTGTCTTGAGTCGTCCCATGGCGAGTTGACGTCAGCGGTGAAAACAACTTCGTGCCGACCAGAAAATAAGCTGCCGCCAGATTGGCTTAAATTATCTCCGTGCTCTCTCGCGGTAAAACAAGTCTCTGATGAGAAAGACCGAGAACTGCCTGGCAAGGTTGACAAACCCTTGAAGTCGCGTCACAAGGGTGCAGTATGCTCGAATGTCTTTCCAGTGCTCATGTTGGCATGGCAACTGATCCCTCGATACTCATAATCAAAATACAAAGAAATGAGAGGGAGTGAGAGCTGATATTGTTTGGCACCTCCACAGATTTTGTCTCAGATGTACTCTTGTTCTTGTTAAATCTTGATTTGTATCCATTTCCTTTATATATAGTCTAATTGACGTCTGTTGTTGCGCTCTTGCCGATTTTCCTCTATACTTCATGCATTATGTGCCAGGCAGTTGACGCCAGTGTAGGAAGTTTGACGATCAAAGGGACTCTTTCTCTCCAAGTTAACAGACTGACCAGCCTGCGGTTTTACTCAAAGTTATCAACGCAGCATGTAATTAATATTTAATAGTGTTCCTCCTGGAAATTAAAAGTCAGCGGCAAGGGATAAGTTGGGTTAGTTGTTTCATTACTGAATGATACTTGGTTCTCAAATGAGTTGAGCTCCGAAACATGAATGATTCACCCAACAGCATGGACCCGAGCAATGCAACTGTAAGACCGCGTGGGTTCCTTGAACTGCCGCGTCGCATGCCACAAGCCAAGCCCTTGTTAGTGGGTTCATTGTTACCCAGCAAGTTTGCCCCAACAGAGCGCCGGGGTGCAGGATCGAAGTAAACAACTCGTGGAAGAAAGAGGAAGATCGCATCCTTTGTGTGCCTACTCTTTATATAGATTGAGCTGTCTCCGGCGCTCTTTCACGGGCTCAAGGAAGTCACAAAGAACCTCTCGCGGGAGACAAAAAGAACTCCATCACACACTCGATCTCGAACCCCAGCGGTTTTAATCCCCCCAGTATGATTTACCGAAGTACTACTGCAGTTTAGCCTTGAGGTTGGAAATAGCTATCTAACTACATCACGGTAAAATATGCAGTGTCAAATGTACGTTGTACGCTTGCTTGGACCAATGACCCGGTTGTAGATTGCTTTTCTATTGTTGAAAATTTATACGGAAAAAAACATCTCTGGGATGTATATCCGAGACGGCCTGTACTTTCTGATCGAATCGTCGACTTGGATGTTTCAGTTTGATCATGTAGTATTAACCACACAACGAACCATATGGTCAGAAATTGCCAATTCCCAGCAAAGCTACAATAACAAAGATATGAGGGTTGGATAATCAGATAAATGCGCGTCGAAAAACGCAATTTGGGCGTCGCTTTTGACATCCTATCGGAGGAACTTTCCGGTTAGGATTTAACCATCGAATGCCAGGATCTGCATCCTTTTTCGCCAGTTTTTTTTTTTTTAACGAAGCCGCTGACATCTTGCCTTCTAGACCACTGAGGCTAGACACAGGAAATCGGCTTCCACGCCGTC